TAGGCAGTCTGTGTGAGGTGAATTATAAGTGTGCTCCCATTTCCACTTGTGTGTGTTCAGCTGAATTAAAAACCAGCATCATACACCATGTGGCTAATGAGTTTTTGTTTTTCTTTTGACCTCAAGACGAACATCAGCTTAGATTCCAATGTGCCATTTTGAAAAGACCAAAAAACAAGAATGTGGCTTAGGGGTATTGGAAATGGAAAGGATTAATAATTATTTATATTTGCAGTATTTCAGAAAACAAATTTTTCTTTACTGCACATTGTTGCAATGGTCTGCTACCTTTACACTCCAAAGAGCCAATTTTGCTCCGTGAACAACTACATCGAACTCATTTAAACCTGCAAAAGTTGCATGGCTTTTTGAAATATGACAACTTATAATTTTTGATAAATATTTACAGTAGAAAATGTGTCATTTTTTTAAATAACCAGGACGGCATTTCTAAAATAAAGAAAATCACAAAACATTTGCAAAATTACCTTTTCTTTTACAAGGGGTTATGATATTTGTGAAAAATGCTGGAAAAAAGTACCTGGTCTTCAACCTCAGACTTAAAAAATGGTGCTGGTATTTTCTCTTTTTTTGTTGTTTTTGTGGAGATTTATAGCAACTATTCCATAAACTCTGGGTTACTTTTAATAGCCATATTTGTTTTGAAATATATATAAAATATATATTTACTGTATGCCGCAGAAATAGAAGTGCAAAAAAGGTCGGAATCACCTAAATGGATTCGCTTGCTTCGTTTGCCCTGATGTCTCCTGTACATAGTCACTGTCTGCTCGCTGCTCTGACACTGTTTTACACTCGTTCAATAACGGATACATCCACGTGAGAGCTGCTGTGTTAAACAAACACATCTTACAGCTCACTGCCAAGCTGCTTCACTGATACGTGGATTGTATCGGTGATGCCACTCAGTGACCAAACTGAGTGGCATTTTAGACATCAGCATTTGTCTCTCTTTTTCTCTCAACTGCTTAATGCCTCTGATTGGCTAATTGTTGTGTTTGCATTCTACCACCACACTTTATGTTGTGTGTGTACACTTTGTTTTGTATTACTGTCCACAAATAGCATCGGTTAGTCCATATTCTCTGATTTAACAGCAAACAGCTGAACAGACTTTCAAGTAGTTATAGATAAGTGCCTAAATGTTTATTAGCAGGGAACTTGAATTGTCCTTTTTTCCAGAGTATTACAGTCCTTGGCATGAAAATCATTTAATTTATTTAGTCATAATCAGTGTCAGCAGAACTCTCTCTGTTTTCTCACTCATCTGTATTCTGCTGTTTGACAGGCAGCTCTTCTGTGACTGTCCCTTCCAGACACCCAGGGCCGAGGGCCAGTCAGACAAATTACTTCCTTTTAACTCAGCTGTCAGTCAGATATTTAGTGGATCCCCCAAAGGATGTTTTTTCATTGTGAGAACTTGTAAAAGACTAATACAGTATTGCACAGAAGGCGTTAGGCTACACTTCTATGGAACACTTGTGAATAGATTCAGAACACAGTGATAAGAGAGTGAGAAAGAATGCCATTGCTACAAATAGAGATTAGGTTTATAGAAATAAATTGGGTTATTTTATTTGGTGAAAATTAGTCTTTTCATATATTAGGAAATTAGACCCCATCAAAGTTTGCTCTCATCTGAATCGTAAGCAGCGCTTCGAGTCAAGTGTAAATTGCACCATTTAAGAAATAAAGAATTTTGAAATTGCATGTTTTGCTACAATGTATGTCTTGAATACTCTTGTGTGATTCATCTTCCATATTTCATTCTCCTTGCTTCATAATCAGCTTTCTTTTTCAAGTCTGACAAATAAAGAACACCTGATTTCCGTTCTGCTTTGCACTTCCCGAAGACAATGATTAATAGCACAAGATCAACCACTTAACGTTTAAAAACAGTGATTTGTATGTTTATTTTATTATCATTATGCAACTTTTTAAGGCAAGAACAGGGTGTGTAGGTTTTAACGTATTATGGGTTTTCTCCAGTCCAGACATGGTGAACATTTTACATACAAATGCAAATGTATACATACAATCAGTATTATTTGGATAAAATTGCCTTTCACAATTTTCAGCAAAGTAACTGTGGTGTTTGTCATTGAAAACAAGGCAAGTTTATTATTTTAAGCACCAAATATACTTCAGTATGCAGTTTCACAGTGAAAACCGTCTCAGTAAAACACCAGACGCTAATATCTCCAGTCTTCCTTATTGGGCTACATTGTGCTACTTCTAAACTTACCTAGAATTACACATGTCTGCAAGTTCTTGGTTGGTCATAGTCTAGTTGAGAACACATATTCTTTCTTTACTCTCCTTTAGAGTCAAAGACTCTTTGTTGGAAACTTTCAAATATTAATATAACCACAGCTCTCTGTTCATGGTGTTCTTCAGTTTCAGTCATGGCTTTTCCCCTGGATGGGGCAAAATGTAATGAACCAAGTTGTTGCCTTGGTCTCGCATAGTGAAATTGGTGAAGTATTCTTTATTGAAGATTACATGATGTTTTGATTGCCTTTGTAAAAATGTGATATCAAATTGTAATGGGCTTTCTCACCAAAAATATTTTTGATGTATTGAATCTTGACCTTGCAATCTGCCAGGGTTTGTAGGTTTAGGACGGTCACAGTGTATTTTCCTTAAAAAGCAATTGCTGAAAAAGTTAGACTTTGAGCAAAGACGTAGACAGCAAGATGGCAATATGACACAGGAATTGCAGGTGAGGAAAATGTGGTGATTGAAAACAGCAGAGAAAGAGAACACACCTTTATCCAGCAGTCATTGGGCGACAGGCAATATATACCAAGACAAATAATCACACACTCACTCTTCAGGGCAATTTAGAGAAACTCCATGAAGAAAGACCCCTCACTGGGATACCAACCCACAACCTTCTTGCTACAAGCCAACAGTGATACATCCTGTGAGACACAATTATTTAGCATATTTACAATTTCCCTTCCAGTTGTGCAGTTATTTCTTCAGTTATATAAATGTACTATTTCTAAGTGGATGGCCTGACGACTGATATTTTTTTCTGAATTTAAAGTATCTCCATTGCTATCTCCTTGCCAAAACTCTAATGGCTAAATGCCAGACTGGCTTCAAAACAGAAACAGCAACCAATTAGTAATGTTTTTGTGGCTCAAAGCACTTATTTTATATGGTTTCTGGCCTTTATGTACTAAATTATTTTTATATAAGTACCTTCACATTAGGTAGTTGAGCTGCTTTGAGCTGATATGTATATGAATGCACTTTCAAATTCTCATTGTCACTGCAGGAATTACCAAACATGATCTGGCACTTATGTTATATATTTTGGGCAATGATTTTCTGAAGGATTTTACATGACCATGGCTAAATCAAATTTGTTTTAAGGGAAAAATGGATAGAATAGTTTCTCATTCATTATAAGGAAGAAAGAAAGAGGGAAGGGAAGGGAAAACCCAAAACTAATGTAAACTAAGTAGGAAAAGCAGATAAATAGGGTCTTCAGACCCATTCAATAAATTAGAAGATTATTGAAAAATCCATTTATTTCAGGAACTGTATCACAAGTGAAACACATTATGTAGATTAATTACACACAGATGGATGTTTGAAAGCCTTTTCTGTAAATTATGATAATTTTACTCTTGCAGTTAATGGAAATGTGCTTTTTTTTTTAAAAAAAAATTGAATATCACATTAGACCAATAAAACATTAGAGATGTTGCAACACAGAGATGTTGACTTATTGAAAAGTATGTTGAATACCTAATTAAAGGTTAATTTTCAAGAGTTGCAATTGTGCCCCATCAGGATGCATTGTCTATTTACTCAATATGAGTCTAGTTTCTGAACCCCAAAACCAGAACAGTTGAAAACTAAATTGCATTCAGTTGTCAGCTGATGCTACAGAAAACTCAGCAAAGCTCAAACCTTCTTTTACGACAAAAAGCATTTGAGTGGTATGAGATGAAAAACGCTGGTGAAAATCAAAATGAGAAAGAAGAAGTATGAGATGAATAAAAAAGGAATGAGTCTGGAATGGGCAAATCCCAGAGGTGCTATTGATCTGTGGCTGCAACACACACAAACACACAAACCGTGCTGCCAGGAAGCACGCCGGTGGTCAAATATGTATAATTGATGGAGTTGGGTTTGACACAGCCGTGTAATGTGATCTGGGGCTGGAGTCTCTTTGGTGTTATGCTGGGTGTGTGTGTGATTGTGTGTGTGTGTGCCTGTTTGAAAGGAGAAAGGACAGGTATTTGTTGTGGGGACTCGTTGAAAATTTGATGTGTAAGAATGCTGTATTTTTCATTTTTACCAGCCCCCATGGAGGAACAATGGCTTGTACAGTAATGGGCTTTTACCATAGGGGCCTTTGTTCTCGCTTACATGCACAGAGAGACCTGTTGACAAGCTGTGAGATACTTGAATTTAATTTTTACACATTTTCATTAGAAAAACAAATGCAGCCAATACAATATTTTTTACCACTTGTATACACATCTGCATTTTTTAATTCTTTTAGTCGCCATTTTTATTTTTGACTATTTGTGCCTGGTTTTCAGCTGTGTGTTTACAAGGAATTTATTAGGTTGTTGATGGTGAAGAATTCGTTACCATTTCATTCCCAGCTACATTTACACACAGTAGTGCTTGTTTTTTCTTCAGCATTTCTTTTTTATCTGTGTGCATTTATGTATTTCACAGCTTTGTGCCTGCCCTGACAGTGTTCTTCTTTGTTCCTCTGTCTAGTTAAATTGCAGGCCTTTGAGAAGAAATCGATTTGAGCAACAAGATAACTAAGTTATCAAACTGTTTCATTGACTGGCTGTCCCTTTTTTCTCCATTTCTCGTCCCATTTTTGCCTTCCCTGTCTTTTTTTCTCTATTCCCATTTTCCCCTCCTTTCTGCCATGTTTCCCTTCTCTGTCATTCCCTCTGTCTTCATTCTTTTGCTTTCCTGCCCCTCTCTCGCAACAGGCCGACAGACTTGTCCTCCAGAGAAGTTTGATTGTGGAGGGGTAGCCAGCAAATGTGTTTCTTTATCGTGGCGATGTGACGGAGAGAGGGACTGTGAAAGTGGAGCAGATGAGGAGGAGTGTCCTGCAGGTGAGTCTGTGATGAGTATTTCGAATGTCGCGAACACGACAAAAGATCTGAAGTGTCCATAGCTCCAAAGTGAATTTCACATTTACACTCTTCAGTTGCTTCAAGTACATTTTGAATTTAGGGAATGAAACTGCATTTATTACATTGCTAACAATCAATATTTCCACAGGACAGGCACAACCTGCATTATTAAATCAGCTTGGACATTTGAATTTGCTATCAGTCAGCTGCAGCTTCTAAAAAGCATAAACAAGACTCAAAAATAATTTGAGTAAGAAGATGAGACATTTAAATTAAACTTGAAGCATTTGCTCAGCCACTGACATTGAATTTGCCTATCCAAATTACTTTGAAATATATTTATAAGGAGGAACTTTAGTCAGAGATGATTCTGAACAGTGCTGACTTCGATACTGCATGACATCTCCTGTTGTTCTACATTGTTCATCTGAACTTTGAAAACTCAGCTGTGCAGGATGACACATTAATTTATGAATGGCCAGAGGCAGCTTAATCTTCAGATTTAACACTTTCAAATTCTGCTTCTCGAATTCTTAGTATGAATTCTAGATTGCTGCTCCAAACGTTGCTCAAATTAGCGAGTAATAGACATTCATTCATTTGAATTAATATAATGTTGGACAATTACAAGTGTATTAGAATATTAGATGCATTGTTTTTTGTATTATAGCAGCTTTGCTCATTTTCACCTCCTGCCCATACCAGGCTTTTGAATAATAAAAAAAGTGAGTAAAAAAGAGGATGAAAATAAGAGAAGTACAAACTGCAAAGAAGAAAGTAACTCAATCTTATCCTGCTTTTTCCCATGTCATCCATGTTTTTCTCTTTTCACAATTTATTAAAAAAGTTTATCTCTTTACTTTCTTTGGACCAGCACTTTTTTCCCGTTCTATCTGATAGAGAGTTCAAACATAGACTTCATGTTCTTTCTGTTGCCTTTCATCTCTGACCTATGTTAGCTTCTGACCATTATTGTAGGCTGGTTAATAGAGCTGTTTAAAATTTCATAGAATTCTCAATGATAATTGATTTTGTGCTTCATGTGGTTTGACTGTATATGAAGTGTTATGGCACTCCTGCTGGTATAATAACCTGCCAGCATCATCTTTTGATCTATCATTTAGAGATGTAGGAATGAGTATTAATATTAATATTAATGTGCGTAGAAGGCTTGCGTTAACTGAAGGTTGACTGCAGAGGCCACAAAGAGCTAAATTGGACTGTGAAGTGGTAGTTCTTGAGCTGAAATGTTCAGGGTTTAACTCCCCATCCTTACCTGTACTGAAGTCTTGAGGCCACATATTGAATCAGACAATACCCTGGATAGGATTATCCATATTTGCATTTGGTCTTGATAAGTAGAAAGTAAATCCTCTTTAATCCCTCTGGGAATATATGACTAGGGTTAGGCAGATTTATCATTATTGATATGAATCAAGCAAAGAGTAACAATTATTAGATTTGTGAGGTTCTTTGTTCCAGAAATTTGAAATGTGGTCCCATTTGATGGTTAATATCAAAATATGTTATTAGACATAGAGGGAGGAACAGTGTTAGCTACGAGAAAGAAAAGGACAAATAGGTTACATTGTTACATAATCTCATGTTTTCTTAAAATTTGGCTGCCCTAGTGGTAATTATTTGAGTGAACTTGTACTTAAGTTTTCACAAATGTTTGAAATTAGATCTAAATAGTGATAATTTGATATACATTTCATAATTCTCCTACATCTTAGTTATAATCAGATGCATTTGTGCAACACATATTTCTTTGGTTGTACAGTATAACTACGACTGATAACGCCAGCGTATGTTCAGAAGGCGATACCTGTTGCTAAAAAAAGGTATTGTGCCACTTCTTGTTGACAAAGCACATGGTGGACTACCAATAGCAATGCCACCAGGTGCTTTGTCAACAAGAAGTGTCACAATAGTTTCTTATTAATTCTGTTTCAAAATCCAGTTGTACTCTCATTCTGTGAATCAATAGTTAAGTCAAACCTTTTGATCCGCCAATCTTTTCTGTTAGATGTTTAAGATCAAAAACATTCTTATGTACTCACTCAGGCACGCATTATGCATATTAGAACATGTTTTCACTGGGTTGCATACATATATATTTTTAAGAATTCAAGTTGAATATTCTACCAATGTTATCTGGGGATTTTAAACTGCCCAAGTTTTCTTTCTCTTAAAGTGAAAAGAAACAAATCAAAGATTTTAAAATATTGAAAACAAAGTTCCTCCAGTTATTTTTCTGCAGATCATACAACAAGATTTTACAGGGTATTGTTCTCCATTAGCTATTAAAATGTAGAAGATGTTTGCATTTATCTCATATGAATTGTGATGGCTTAAAATGCAAAGTCCAATTAGTTTACAGACATTTATTAACCTGAGATACAATACAGTAAAGTCCAGCTGATTTATCTATTTGATTTTTTTAGCAGGTAGAGAACTGGTAATACTCAATGAATCTGTATGTTATTTTTACACACTAATTAATGCCGATATTGTAATATTTTTGAAGGATAATGTCTTGTTTAGTTGTGTAAACCAGTTAGCATCTTGAAAATGTTTCTTTAAATCTTAAAATGTTTTTTTTTAAATTGAAAGTTCAGCGCTCAGTGTTCATAAACAAAGTTCTGAATGAGCCACGAGCATGAATCCATTCATTCGCTGTTGATGTAAATTTGTTATTATAAAAACAAATTTCCAAAGCTTTCATTTAACCACTAATTCTTACAACCCCCGTCCTCCGATTCCCTCTCCTTTGCTCCTTCCTTCAGTAGCTTTAGTTGGAAGACAGCTAATGTTAATTAGGGGCTCCTAATTGAGCATATCCAAATGTTGAATAAAACATGAATCCAGGAGGAGAGGTTCTTTATTACATTTAGTTAGAAGAGGCCTCTAAAGAAAGTTTATGTGCCTTTAATTTATGTTAATGTGAAATTGCATTTGTTTAGGGACACAGTAGAGATCTGAGTTTATCTGCTTCAGGGTGTGTGAGTGTGTGTGTGCTTGGGGGCGTAAGGGTGGTTAATTTACATTTGGGGAGAGACTCTGTTTTAAAGAAATATGGTTTCCTATTCTATGAATAGTGTTTGTTTTTGCTTTTAATCGTTAGCTGAAGAGAAGAAGAAGTGTTATTTATATTGCACTTTTTCAGCAACACGGCAGTGCAAAGAGCTCACTAAGCATAGTTTTGGTGAACGTTATATGCTTTAACAATAACATTAATTCAGGTATTTTTTTCCACATGAACTTTAGTTACATTGCTAAAGATTTTAATGAACTTAAATGTGTAAGGAATCTTAAACCACAGTAACCACAGCAAATTTATTATTTCTTACTTCAATGAGCAATTATTAGTTTTTTTTTTTTTTTTCTGTAAATCTTCTTAGGGTAATTCCCATTCTTCTTTTTCATTGTGAGATTGGATTAAGCAATGCAACATTTAAATTTTTTGAGTACCCATCTAAATAGCTGAATATACAGTATACTTCTTAAAGATACATAAAACAATTCTTAAAATGATTTAATGTTTTATTATAGTAGGATTCTTTTATAATTCATTTATTTAACGAGTTCGGTCACTGTTCTCCTTTCTCTGCATAGTGACGAGATAAACTTGGCTCTTCACTTGGTCTCAGTTCCAGTTTAAAATTTTGACTATATTTCAGATAACCAGCCTTTTTGTCTTTAGCATATTCTAACAAACCTCTCACTGCTCTTACTGGCATGGCTTCTCCATTCTGAAGAGAAATGGGACTCAAATGAGCCTAACTTACTTATCCTCTGTCTACACATGTCACTGTTTGCTTCACATTTGATGCTCTCTGTTGAAGGGGAGGAAAAGGGTCAACACAAACAGAGAATGCTCAGAGGAACTTCATCCAGGCCACAGGGGACCGTTTGATCTTTTCACATCACCCTGTGCTGCTGACTTACATTAGGACAAGTTGTTGCTGAATCGATGCCCGCCGGGGATGCGTTAGCTGGTGTTTTATCGCAGGATATTGAAGGATAGAATAAAGGGATTACATTATGTCTGTGAGCTTTGTGTGTGTGTGTGTGTGTGCATGTGTGTGTTGCTCTGGTGGAAAATGAGGAAATTCGAACATAAAGTGACGCAAACTCTATGTGTAAACTTTCAATCTGTCTATAACTCATAAGCAGTGAAGTGAATCTGATGAATTTCTCCTGATTAAACTTTGATTCTATTTCTGATAACAAATCAAAGAACAAAGAAAAAAGTAATAAAAAGAAGATTCCTGGTTCTTTTCTTCTGCTTCACCCACATGTCTATTGGAAGGTGTTACTACAAAGAAGTGTTTTCTTCCCACCACTCCCTCTTTGATATATAATCGTGCGACTACTCTCACTGTGTGTGTAGGTGTACTGTAATGGAGCGGCAGAACACAAACATGCTGACTGGGAACCCAGAGGCAGTTGCACTTCAGACCCAAACAGGCTGGTTTCTAAAAAAAAAAAATGATTTCAATAGCATTACCTTCCTCCTTTTAGGTGCATTTCCATCCTCATGGAAATACTGTACACACTCTCAAATATCACATCAGATCACAGCAAATACGTGGGCTAAACAAGTGACCCAGGTGAAAAAAATGTTTGACTACAGTTAAACAGGGTAGTGATATAATGCATGAGTCACAGAAGAAAGATTTATTTTCCTCTTGCTGTTTCCTTGGCCAATAATCCATATGATACCTCTTTACTCTATCTCCACCTTATTACCCCTCACTAAAATTTTAACTTGTAAGCCATGAGGTAAAATGAATAATGTCACCAGTATCTTCACCTCTGCAAAGCCACCACATTTTCATAAGATTTATATGAGCACAGCTGCACAAGCTGTCTAAGCCAAATGCCTGTGCAATCAGAGTTCAGTTTTAGGTGTGTTTCAACAAGGGCTTATGAATTTAATTTACGAAATGTGTCAGTTGATGCTCCTCCAACAG